GGGACTAAGAGGGTAGCATTAGAAGACTGTCTCTCAAGCAGGGGCCAGCTGCAGAGAAGTAAGCAGCACTGAGGCAGATATAGAGAAAGGCTGCAGACAGCTACCTGAGGCAAGAAGCACTGCAACAAGCCACTGGGCAGGCCTGCAAGCAGACAGGTAGCTCAGGAGCAGATGGGAGACAGCTGGGCAGACGGCAGTCGAGCAGAGCAGGATAAGTAATAGGCTGAGCAGAACCACCTGAACTAGTCAGAGATTAGGTGACCAGAGAGGGATGGCACCCAGGGTACTTAAAGCCTGACTAGAGCTAGAGAGGTACTCTGGCCCTGATTTGCAGAGAGGACAGAGCTCCTGAAAGTCCAGGCTGCTGATGTAGGGAGTTCAGTCATTCCAGGGAAGCTGTGGGGGTCTGGAGACTCAGGAGGTGGGAGGTTTTGGTAGGCTGATAGGGGTGGTATGGAGGCCATGGGTGGTGTACCTGGAGGGGCACTCCATGGTATAGAGGGCTGAAACCCAGGTAAGTGCCTTGCCACAGTCTGGAACCCTGCGGGCTGTGAGGGCTAGAGCTGAGATGGCCCAGGGGGGTCAGAGTATGATTAGAGAAGGAGTTGAGGCCATGACTGAGCCCTGCAAGGGTCTGGGACTTAGGGGGTTGTGTGGGCCAAGGCTAAGGAGCTCCTAGGCTGAGGGTAACAGCCCAGGAAGAGCAAGGGGCTCAGAGGGATAAGACCTGGATAGAGTCAGTGCACCAGTGAAGTACATACAGTGAAAACCGAGAGGCATGTATGTGGCTAAGGTGGCAGGAGGTAATGATTAAAGCCCTTAAGGCAGTCAGGGCCTAGAGGGCCCTAGCTCAGGCTGGCAGGGCCCAGCACAAGGGAGGAGAGTCTCAGAGGGGGTTGGAGTCCCACTGTGAGTGACACTGCATGTCCAGAAAGCTCACATTGGGAGAGACTGCCCTCGGAGACCAACTTCACCATCCAGATATGGCACAGGATAACAGGGTGATACCCTGAGAGGACAGAGGGGAGGAAGCAGGACATGCAGGGCCACTGGGGGTGCCATGGCCATCTGTGGAGGCTGGGTCCAGACCTAGGGCAGGTGATGCAGAGAAGGGGTACCTTGGGATATACTTCTGTTGACTGCAGTATGCAGCTGCCCCATGGACTCCTGGCATCCCTCTATCCTAGTAGTGACCCCATACTGCAAACCCCCCTGGATTGGGATGTTGGCATTGCCACATCTGTTCCCCCAGCACAGCTTGGGGCTTGTCTCTGCAGGCTTTACTGTCGCTGGTCTGACAACAGCTCAGCCTGAAGCTTCTGCTCTGTGTTCCCTGGGGAGTTCCAAGGCTGTGTTTCTTCCCCCCGTCCCTCTGCTTGGCTCCTGCCACATGGAGAACCTGCCCCAACCACAGACCCCCTGCCAGCTCTACCCAGAAATGCTTCCCCCAGCATAAAAGCAATTAGGTGATATCTCTGCTGGAAGAGCCCCCACCCCTTGCCAGTGTGAAGTCTCCCAACACCTGGAGGCCCAGAACCCAGCCCTGATTTCTCCCTGCTGAGCCTGGGCCTATATAAGCAGCAAGACCCAGTTCCATCCAGTGCCTGTGAAAGGCCTGGGCCTTCAAGCCCCCCAGCTCATCCTCAGAGCAGATGCACCCTGGCAGCTCCTTTCTGCTTCCCCCTGTTATGTGCCCTGTGCCCTTAGCTGAGGTTGGCACAGGGAGGAAAGTCAGTACCAGTCTTGGTTTGGGCCCTGCTCCCATTGCACTGAACACCCCCTCCCCATCCCTGCTCTCACAGGACAGGGCCTGACCTGGAAGATGGGGTGCCTGAACCACTGGTGATGTGCAGGGGGCACCTCTGCTTCCTAGCCCTTCCACTGTAGCTCATCTTCCTAGATATCAGCCTCAAACTAGACCTGTTGTACATGCAGCTCTACCTCATGCTGCACAGACAGTTGCACCACCCTGTCCCCTCCAGCCTGCAGACACTCCCTCCCACAGTCAAGCTCCCGGGCAGCTGAAAACCCTCTCTTGGGAGCCCTAGTCCAAGCTGATGGCAGCAGGGACATCCGTGTAGACTCTGCCCCTGCCTATCCTGCTTATTAGATTGATAGTCATTGTGGCAACAAGAGGCCTTGCCCTCTTAGGAAGGACCAGAGCTCATTGAGGCAGTGCCTTTTCTTTCCCTTGGGTGCTGGTGTGGCCAACACAATCCTGCACAGCCTGGGATGCTCCTTGGGTTCCCACCAGAATGGGCTGGATAAAGCCTCCAGCCTCCTTCCCTTCAGGAGCTCTGATTGCCTGGGAACAACCAGGCAAATGCATCACCTCACTGCTGGTGGTGGCTGACAGGTGAGTGGAGACAGTGTGTTTAACTCCCAAGCTGCTGGCCCTACATTCATTCTGGTGGTCATGGCTGTGTAGTGGGTGTCTCTTTCACCCTGATGCCTGGACTGTGCCCTTTCTGTGGGCAGGGCTGGATGGGCAGCCTAGGGGTGCCCGGGAGGCACAAACCACCCCTTGTGATGACAAAGAACCCTGTAGAGTGGGTCTTGGCTTTTGTGGACTCATCACAAGCTTCTGAAGAAGGGGACATAGGGCTTACCCTGGGGTGACTGGCTTTGCCTATGGGGCATCCTCATGAGCAGACGCCTCCCTGAGCTCTGCCTGGTTTGCCCGGGTTATGCCCCACAGGATGCCAAGGTGGCTGGGTGCAGAGGTCCCTTCTGCAGGGTGAAGGTCTGATGTCCTCTTGGCTCTGTGCATGACCCAGCTGGATGCAGCTTCCATCACCTTGAGCTCTGTGTCAGATCCAGGTAGAGCCAAAGGGGGGATAAATGCTTCCTCACAAGTCATGAAGCCAGAGTGCTGCCTGAGTGCTTGAAGCCTCAGCAGAGGTAAGGGCTGCTCCAGCCATGAGGGCTGGTGGGTGGGGGCAGTCTTTTGGGGATGGAGATGAGGGTAAAGGGGGGGCTTCCAGCAGAGCCAGGCCGTGGATGCCATGCCAGTCCCTCCAACACGGCAGGAAGTGACAATGTCTGGGTTTGGCTGGCCATTCTCCTTTGTGTAAAGAGGTAATTAGTCTAATAGGGCCCAGACAAACAAGGCCCCTGTGCCTTCCCCAAGAACCATCATTGTCTACAGCCAGCCAGGGCCATCCTGCCCACCCTCTGCTCCCTCCTCAACACTGACCTTCCACCCCTTTGTGCTGCTTAGACGACAGATTCCTTAGGAAATTACAGGCTCATTAGCACCAGGCTACGCAGGGAGTCGGACACCGCTGCATAATGAGCCACCACAAATGAGGGGAAAGGCCAGACCGGTCTCCAGGCTACCAGGAACAATGGGAGCGGGTCTCCCGGAGACCAGCCCTTTCTGCAGCCCCGGCCCCTCCATATCCAAGAGGTATTTTTGGCAGTGCCATTGTGCCTGGGCTGGAAAGGGCTGTGAATGGGCCTCCAGGGAATGCGGCCCTATAAAAGGCCAGGCTGCTGGGAGAGCAACTCAGGGTGTTTCTGCACCTTGCCTCCCACGGCGGGTCATGCCACATCTCCGCTCGACCACCTGAAGACACCTTGGAACAATGGAGGCGCCAAATGCCAAGGTATGTCTCCCGGGGCCCTGAGGACACGCATTGGACACAGCTAGGCTGGGAGTCTCATGGAAGCCACAGGGAGCTGCAGAGAAGATGCTTGCAGAAAGGGTGGCATGGGGGTGGGAGGGACAGGAGTGGACAGACAGGGGTGGGGAACAAAGTGCAGAACCTCTGACCAGGATAGGGTGTGTTGCCTGAAATCCAGTGACAGCCAGAGGCTGGGGATCCCTGCCTTGCTGAATTCACTGGGCAAGTCCTGCCAGCCCAGCTCCAGCGTGGGGTGTAGGGACCCCCTGACCCCAGCCATGTGCTCTCCTAGGCAAACTGGCATGAGCAGCCTAGCCCAGCTCTGACCCTTGGGTCTCTGAGAGGGGACCGAGGTTTCGTGGTGCTGGGGGGAAGCTCAGAGCCTCGACCTGTCTCTGGGAGGGGGACCGATGTCTTTCCTAATAGAGTAAGGGGGCTGGAAGCCAAGACTCCTGGGTTCTGTTCCAATCCATGGGGGCAGGCGACCCATGGAGGAGCCTTGTGATGTTGGACTAGCCAAAGCTGGAGCCATTAGGAGAGATTGCCCCCTGGGCTGAGTGCAAACGTGGCTACATTAGGAATGGCATCCAAGTGGGACAGAGCAGTGAGTGATGATGGGAACTCTGCACCTGCAGCTGGCTGGGCGGAGCAGGAACCTTCTGTGACCAGGCAGGAAGAGGAGGAGGATCTCTTAGGGCTGGGGTGGACAATTTTTGGGGCCAGAAGGCCACTTAGGGAGTTCTGGTGAGCTGCTGCAGGGCAGGTCAGCAGCTGCCCCACACCCCCTCCCGTTTCTCGGCCATCAACAGCTCACCAAAACTCCTTATGAGGCTCTGGCCCGGGCCCCAGCCCCATGCTGTCACTGCCTGGGGATCCCAGCCTGGCCCCAGGGTCTCAATGGAGACCAGTCTGGGACCCCTGCAGGTTGGGCATGCTCAGCTGGATGGATGGGATAGGGCTGCAGGTGGGCGAGGAGCGGCATCTGGGTGCAGGATGGATGGACGGGCAGGGCTGGGGCTGGGGCCGGGGCCAACACAGGACAAGGGCCCAGGACAGAGCCACGATCCATTCCCGGCATGTCCCTGCTTGCAGAACCGGTGCCCATCGCAGGGACATGCAGGCAGTGGATCACGGCTCTTCCCTGAGCCTGAGCCCTGGCCCTGCACTGTCACTACCCCACAGTCCCAGCCCCGCCTGCCTGTCCTGCTCCTGGATGCCGCTTGCCACCCACCTGTGGCTCCGTCCCATCTGCCAGGCCGAGCGTGCCCTGCCTGCGCAGGTCCTGGGCTGAGCTCCATGGAGACCCCGCCCTGTTGCCCGGTGCCCCTGGAGGTGGGTGCAGGGCAGACGGGCCAGGGTGGCCAGGCAGTGGGGCTGGGTCCAGCAGCAGATGCTAGTAGCAGCAGCTGGAAGGTGCTGCCATGGGACTGCCTGGAAGCAGAGTCTGACTGCCATGCCACCCCCAACTTAGGGCAGTGGGACCTGCCACACACACCACAGCTTGGCCACTTGGGCCAGGCAGGGCTGAGACACCCACCACAGGCTGAATAAAATCTCTTGGTGGGTTGAATCTGGCCCATGGGCCATACTTTGCCCACCCCTGTCCTAGGACTTGTCAAGGGGACAGACAATCACAGAAGCTCCAGGCCAAGAAGCGCTGGTCCCAGGGATCCCAGCCAGCCCTTCTTGGGCGTGGGTTATATTCTGTCTCTGCACTCCCCTGTGCAGCAGCTGGGGGGCTGGCACTGGGCTGGTTAGACCCCCTGAGTCCCCCAGCTTGGATTTTGAAGTGCTGGGGTACATGTCAGGATTAACCCTGTGACTGCCAGCCCTGCTCCTCAGCCAGCATGCTCCTACACTAATCTGCCCTGCCCCTCCACAGCTCCAGAAAGCTGCCTGCCTCCTGCTCCTCTTCTTGCTCTGCTCCCTGGCTGTGGCTCGGCAGGGTGTTCCTGATTGCTGTCGCCAGAAGACCTGCTCGTGCCGCATCTATGACCTACTGCATGGCATGGGCAACCATGCTGCAGGCATCCTCACCCTGGGCAAGAGAAAGAGTGGCTCGCAGCCCTTCCAGAGCCGGCTCTACCGCCTGCTTCAGGGCTCGGGCAACCACGCAGCCGGCATCCTCACGATGGGCAGGCGGGCAGAGCTGGCACTGGATCACCCAGTCTTAGCCTGCCGCAATGCATCAGGCTGCCCCTCAGGCACAGATACCCAGCCGACACCAGCCCGGGGAGCTTCTGACGCTGACCCCAGCGGCACCAGGGAGTGCATGGGACAGATGGGAAAGGACTCTACCAAGAGCCAAGACCTGGTGGCAGCAAAGAGCTTCTACTGAGGTGGCTGGGGGAGCTGGCTCCCTGCAGGGGTGGGAGGGGGACAGGATCCCTGAGTGGGGGGGAAACTCCCAGGACTCAACCTCTGGAGCCATGTGTAAATAAAAACTTTTAAACACCCTCTGCATGGCCCCAAGCTGCACCCTGCCTGGGGCACCATGGGCACTGCCAGCCTTTTGCAAATAAACTACCATGACATTTCACTGCTGTCTTGTCCTCATGTTATCTGCTGGTAGCATGTTGGGTGGGCATCAGTGGCTCAGGGCCTTTCTGTGCAGCTTAAGAGAGCAGCAGATAGGGTCTTTGAGTGTGATGCTGAGGATTATTATGGGTTTGGTACCCTCTACCAGTACCTCTGTGTGCGTCCCTTTCTGCGCAGGTCGGAGCATGAGGGAGGAGAGGTCTGTCAGGGAGCCAGTGTCTGGGAAAGATGGAGCTGGGAGGGCTGACAGGATCCCAGACTCAAGGGAAACTGCCGCACAAGATGTACCCTTCCGAGGGCATCTTCTGAGACAGCAAGAAGTAAGTGAGAGCACAGGGTGAATCACTACTGGGTGCTGGCCTCATCAGGGCTCCAGGTGCCACCTTGCTGCCTCTCCCTGGCACATGAGATAAGCAGTCCCTTCCAGGCAAAGCGATGCAACTGGAGTCTTATCTGTGTGGGTGGTGAGTAGCCCCAGGCTGGTGAGCTGTAAGGTTTCACAGTCATCATGATTGGGGCACAAGGAGTTTGCAGAGCAGCTTAGCTCCATGTACCCCTAGATCCCTGCCCCTTCCCACTGTGGAAGCCACAGATCAGTTGGCTCTCTGGGGCTGACCCATCACTGTCTGGCCCCTGCACAAAGAAAGTGAATACACCACCTTTGTAAGCAAGGGTCTGAGCTGGGTTGGTTTATACCCACCTTGGACAGCTATGAAGGGCACGTGGGGTACTGGGTGGTCAGAGTGGGGATGCAGCTTCCTTCCCATGTAACATAAGGACTGGTGCTGCCCCTTCCCACACAGTGCTGCCCCACCCACAGGCTGCTTTTGAATGCAAGCATGTCCGTGCTAGAAGAGAGGAGATCCTGGGTGGTAGCGAGTGCTAACTGGGGCATGGATCCTCTGCTCAGTGAAGGGGGAGCCACCTGGCTTGGGTAAGGATCCTGAATCCCTACAGGGATTGGACAAGCCAGGCCCTGAGTCCTTCCCCAATCCTTTGATTTGTAGCAGGGTCCTCTAACTACCGCTGCTTGGAGGGTAGGAAGCCAACATTGGAGGGCTGCAATTAGGTAGGCAGCTGAGCAAAAACCAGCTGCAGAGTAGCAAGCAGCCAGGGGAAGCTACAAAGAGCTGAAGTGCAGGCAGGGGCTGCCAGAGTGCTAGCTGCATGGGCACAGGTGGAGAAGGCTCCAGGCAGGTGAAAGGGCAGTGGCTGCAGCTCAGTGGTTTCAGTTGCAGCACCTGAGAGCAGACTATTGGACTAATTAGGAACCTCTGGGCAAGGTGAAGGCCACATGACCAAAAGAGGTAAAGCCCAGCTTACTAGAAGCCTGATTTCTGAGCCAGGGAGGGTAGTCTGGCTTGGCTGTGGTTGAGGGCAGAGTTTCTGTTACTCTAAACTGCAGGAGAAAGCTCAGAGTGGGTAGAAAACTGGCTTATGGGATGCAACCAGAGAGTAGTGGTGGATGGGTTGGTTTCTGCCTGGAGAGATGTGGGCAGTGGTATCCCCCGAGACTCTGTCTTTGGATCAGTACTGTTCAATATCTTCATCAGAGTGCTTTTTACACCCTCATCTAAATCACTGAATTTGCAGATGACACCAAACTATGGGGTATAGTAAATGCACTAGAGGATAGGGAGTGGATTCAGATAGGCTGGGGAAGTGGGTGGATCAGCATAGGATGCAATTTAACAAAGATAAGTGCAAAGTACAGCACCTGGGGAGAAAAAATCACCAATACACCTATAGACTGGGAAGAAAAATTCTAAGCAGCACAGCAGTGGAAAGGGATCTTGGAGTCATAGTCGACACAAAAATGAACACGAGTAGCCAATGTAACGAGGTAATAAGTAAGGCTAACCACATTCTTTCTTGCATTCATAGGTGCATCACAAGCAGGTCTAGGGAGGTGATACTTCCCCTCTATGTGGCACTGGTGAGGCCGCAGTTTGGAATACTGCATCCAGTTTTGGGTGCCACACTTCAAGAGGAATGTTGATAACCTGGAAAGGGTTCAGAGGAGGGCTACTCATGGTTGAGGGCCTGCAGGTAAGATCCTATGAAGCCAGATTGAGGGACCTGAATCTCTTTAGTCTCCGCAAGAGAAGGCTAAGTGATCTCATGGGTGTCTACAAACTCATCAGGCCATAAACAATGGCCATAAACTGAAGGACAGTATAGTTTCATAGTAGTTTGGGGTCAGAAGGGACCTGAACAGATCATCTAGTCTGACCCCCCCCACTGGCAGGAGCACATGGTGGGATCACACAACTCCAGACAGGTGTTTGTCCAACTTCTTTTTGAATTTACCCAAGGTAGGAGCGAGGACCACTTCCCTAGAAAGTTGGTTCCAGATCCTAGCCACCTTAACAGTGAAATAGTGCCTCCTAATCTCTAACCTGAACCTATTCTCCAGCAGCTTCTGGCCATTGTTCCTTATCACCCCAGGTGCTGCTGGGGGGAACAGGGCCCTTCCTACTCACTGATCTCCCCTAACGAGTTTGTAGGCAGCCACCAGGTCCCCCCTCAGCTTCTGCTTGCTGAGGCTGAACAGATTCAGGTCCCTCAGCCTCTCCTCATAGGGCCTGTCCTGTTGCCTTCCAACCAAGTGGATGGCCCTCCTCTGAACCCTCTCAAGGCAGGCCACATCCTTCTTAAAGTGCGGTGCCCAGAACTGGATGCAGTACTCCAACTGCAGCCTGACCAATGTCACATGGAGGGGGAGTATCACCTCTCTGGACTGGCTTGAGATGCATCTTTGGATGCATGACAAGGTGCGGTGACTTTGCTGGCTGCGGTCTGGCATTGGTGGCTTATGTTCATCTTGGAGTTAATAATGACTCCAAGATCCCTTTCCGCCTCTGTGCTCACAAGGTGGGAGCTCCCCAGCCTGTATGTATGCTGTGGATTCCTTCTCCCCAGGTGCAGCATCCTGCATTTATCTACGTTGAACCCCATCCTATTACCATCCGCCCACTTCTGTAGTCTGTCTAAATCTAATTGCAGCCTCTCTCTCCCTTCGAGCATACCTACCTCTCCCCACATCCTGGTGTCATCAGCAAACTTGGACAACAGGTTTTCCAAGTAGATTTAGATTGGACATCAGGAAGAAATTCTTTATGGTGAGGGTTGCCGAAATACGGAATGGGCTTCCAAGGGAGGTGGTGCTTTCCCTTACCTTGGAGGTGTTCAAAAGGAGATTAGACAAGCACCTGGCTGGGGTTACTTGACCCCAGCTCTCTTTCCTGCCCACAGCATGGGGTCAGACTCAATGATCTAACAGGTCCCTTCCAACCCTAGAAATCTATGAGAAGGAAACCCAGGCAACACGGGTACCTGAGGAAGCTGCAAAGAGCCAGAAGCCAAGGGCAGGAATTTGCTGGGATCCAGGAGGGGTTTATGTTTGATGATCACTTGCTGGCATAGTACTGGAGGTTTGGGCGTGGTTAATAGGGGAGGTGTGGAAGCCACAGCAGTAGAAGAGGCTAAGCCCCAGAGAGGGGAAGAGAGTGCGAGAATCCTGCAAGGATCCAGGACCCAGTTGGTTACATAGAGCTAGAACCAAGCAATTTAGAAGCTGGAGATAGCAGCCCTACATGTTCTACATCAGTGTGGCATGTGGCAAACCAAGCCTTCACTTTGAGGCCAGTTTACTGCCTGGGTCCTGTGCTCTGCAGGGCTACTGTTGGGACCATGCCCATGGCCTTCCCCCTCCCAGCAGGCCTGTGGCTCAGCGAGTAGGGCTGGCAGGATGGGCAGGACAGCAGGTCTTCTCCTAGGGCTAGACCTATCCAGGTGGCAGGTGGTCCACGTCTGGGGATAGGTGCACTTTGCAGCACCTCAGCTCTTTGGCAGAAGTTCAGCTCCATCTTCTTGGGCCTCTGGGCTGAGCTGCTGTGCGGTAGTCACACTTGCAGCCAGAGGGCAGTGTTTGAAAATAAATCAGCCAGGCTGCCTCCATAGAGCTGCGGTGTACTCTGCTACAAAAAGCCTCAGTGCCAGGGTTCCCACTTCAGCTTGCTGCAGCTGCTGAGTGCCCCCACTGCACCCAGTCCTGGAAAGAAACAGAGTCCCTCTTCTAATCAAAAGGACCCTCTGTTTTCTGTTCCTGCCTCTTCTCCATGTTTCTTAAAACTCCCTCTTGCCCAGGGTGTGAGCACCTCAAGCTGACACATCACGATTCTCTTTACTCCCCCCACCTTCGACCAATCTCCCCAGGGAAGCCAACATGAGGCAAAGGCTCCTAGCTCCCCCTGGAGTGCTGAGACCCACAGAGACCCAGTGATGCAGGTCCCAGAGGGAGCTGGTACTACAGCAAGGTACTGAACCCCCTAAAGCCATAGCTTTGAGCTGTACCCACCCTTTCTTTAGGGCTTAAAATGGCACCTGATTTCTTATACATGATCCTTATCCCAGAGACCTCCTTCTGCCTCAACAGTGCCTTTCCTGCTGGGTCAGGATGTGAGCAGAAACCCCATTTCCACCCTACCCCCCTTTTAGTCTGAACCCAGTTCATTCCTCTCCCCCAGGCTCTGGTGCTGCTTAGGGTCTGCCTCCTGCAGGGGGTTAGGCTCATGGTGGGGGAATTAACTGGAGGGGAGAGCAGGCTGGGGGCAAGGGCAGGGGCTGCTTTATTGCTCCTACTGTGCAGCTTCCCCATTTTCTGCTGTTTGCCTCAACCTCCTGCATCTCCCCTGCCCCTGACTGCATTTATCTGGAGAACAATTGTTCCCCTCTTTCTGCTGTGCCCTTCCTGTCTCCATCCCCACCCCCCCTCCACATACAGAGATGCAGCCATGCCAGAAGCACCAGCTCAAGTGCTTTTAGGTAAGAGGCTCCTTCACCCCTGCCTTTCTGCTCTCACCAGCCCAGGAGAGACCTGGAGGACCCTGCACGGCACTCTGCTGGGTCTGCAGGCCTCCCTCAGCCCCTGTGGTATAATTTTCCCTTCCCTGAAGTGCAGTGGAGAGCTCCAGCTCATCACAGCTCAGGCCTGCAGCCCCTTGTGCAGCAAGCCTCACCAGTGCATTCCTGAGGGGAATCATCTATATAGCTCAGACCCCTGAAACTGGGCTTGGTACTGGAGGGAGGAAAGGTGTTTACATTGTCACCTGGGCCTGATTCGGAAGTGTCCTCCCCTTTCCACTCCTCTCTCTCTGCTCCCACTGAAGTCGGGGTGGGGGCAATGTGGTTATTCTGAGGTCTGGTCATCTCAGCTTGGCTGGGGGACTCCCCAGGTGGCATCCTGCTATCCTCACTGGCCTTCCCCAGGGTCTGTGTTAACGCCTCATGCCAAGGATGCAGCTGACCAGCAGCTGCTGGGTAGACCACCTCCATAGTCCGAGGCTGCCCCCGCAACCCTTGTGAGCCCTCCACCCCATCTTGTCCATGCCCAACAGTTGCCCCTGGAGGCTCTCATCTGGCTTGACTGTATGGGGCTGCAGGATTGGGTGGGGGGGAACATACCCCTGAACTCCAGGGGCTCACTCTTCCTGAGGGAGGAACTACCCTGGCTTTACCTGTGGCAATTTTGGGTGTTGGGTTTGTGTTGAGTCAGGGTTGAGGGTAGCTTTATGCAGAGTTTAAATTATGGTTGTATGGGGTGGTTAGGACAGCGATGTCCTGCTTCAGGCAGGGGGTGGGTCTAGATGACCTCTGGGGGGGTCCCTTCCAGCCCTACTTCTCTATGACTAGCCGGGTTTGAGCAGAGGCAAAGCATCCAAGCAGGCGCTGCCCGATTCCACCCTCAGTGCTGGGCTGGGGGGGGGGCAAGGGAGTGGGGGTCTCCCAGGCCAGGGAGGAGGGGCTCTCCCGGGCTGGCTGGCTGGGCAGCAGGGAGCTGGTGCAAGGGGCAGGCTGTGGCTGGCCCCATGAGGCAGGCAAAGGAGTGGGGCTAGCGGGTTGGGGGCGGGGGCGCGTGACTTCTGAGGGACGTGGACTTGTGCAGCCTGCCGAAGAGGAGCCGGAGAGGCGATGTAATCGCAGCCCGGCCTCAGCTACCTGAAGGGTGGTTCCAGAGAGGCTGCAGCGAGACTTGTCCGCCCCGGCAGATAACAGAATTGGAGCAATGGTCTCAAGTTGCAGCAGGGGAGGCTGAGGTTAGATATCGAGGGGGAAAAAACTCGCTGAGGCGCCGAGCAGGAAGGCGCTGGAACGGGCTGCTGGGAGACGTGGCGGAGTCTCCCTCCCCGGAGGTTGCTTGCTAAGCCCCGGCCGGGATGCTGGAGCGGGGCTGGGCCGGGCTGGATGCCCCGGCGCGGTCCCTTCCTGCCCCGCGGCGCTAGGGCTCCTCCCGCGGGGCGGGGCGGGGCGCTGGCCCCGCAGAACACCTTCCTGGACACCATCGCCAACAGGTTCGATGGGACACGTAAGTCGCAGCCCGGCCGGGCGTGCCCTGCGGGAGGGCAGGGGGCGCCAGCCGGGCCCTCGCTCCCAGAGCTGTTGGGGGGGCTCTGGTGGGGGCACTTGGGCTCCCCCGTGCCCCCGCTGGCTGCGTGTGGGCACAGTCGTGGGGTACCCCCTTGCAGCCTCCTTCCTGGCTGCCCCACACTCCTGGGCTCATCATCGCCCACCCGGGGAGACCTCCAGGACCAGGGGCGGCAGGGGATGGCTCCCCCTTTGTGCCTCCCGAAAGTCCTGAGGGCTTCTGCCCCCACACCAAGTGGACCACTGCTGCCACCTTGCAGGGCCGCCCCACGTCATGCGCCTCTCTCGCCAGCAGCTGGGCTGCAAAGCCACGGCACAGAAGGGTGAGGGATGGTATGCTCTTAACAGTGCTGCTTTGCTGTGACTGGGGGCTGCGTGCCTCTAGGAAAAGCGCGGCTGGGCTTGGTGGTGGCCGCTGGCCTTCTGTGGCGCAGCGTGGCATCCCTTGGGCAGCGGAGGCTTCTGCCTAGTGGATCTGGGACGGGGTGGGAAACTTGCTGCACAAGTAGGAAGCACCTTTGTAGGTACTGGGTGCCTTTCTTGGCATCGCCGCCTCCTTGTTCTGCACTATCAAGCTCGCCCCACCCGCAGCCCAGGTTGTTATCTAGGTACCGGACCTGCATGGAGCCCTGGGCTTGGTGAGGGGAATGCCATTTCGGAGCTTTCCCCATTTGCTTGTCACTTGGTGGAAAGTGTCAAGAAAAAAATCCATCACCAGCTCTCAGATGCTTCCCCCCCCCACACACAGCCTCTGGCCCCCTCCTTGCTTGAATTTCCATACCACCCAGGAGGCTGCCTGGGTTGTGAAACGCTGCCCCCAGGGAAGGTATGGTTAGCGTGTTTTTTTTGGTAAATAAAATGCCATATTGTAGGTGAGAAGATTCCCACCTCCTCACCCCAGGCCTGCCCAAGTGGATTGCAATTTAAAAGCTTCCAGAAAGATCAATGAAAACTAATTTTAGTCTTTTCTGGGACTCCTGGAAAGCCTTTCATAAGGAGACTACCCCCTAACCCTTTATCGCCAGGCAGGGAGCTGCTGTTCCCCAGATCTGCACCCCTTCCTTCCCCACCATGCTAGGCTATGGGGAAGCTGAGCCAGTGGGGAAGAAACAAAGGCAGTATAAAACACTGAAGCTCCCCCTATGCCAGCCCCCCATGCTGGATCATTAGCTGTGCCGAGAATTATATAAGTATGGATTAAACTCAATATTATGTGTCTAAGGCCAGGGACCAGCACTGTGGCTGCATCTAAGGCTTGCAGCTGGGATATATTGCATTACAATGAATGTTTTGCCTTGATCTGCTGTTTTCCATCTCCTCTGTTGCCAGGGGGGCACTTGGTGCAGCAAGTACACACAGCTGGCAGGTTCCTGCTCAGTACCAGAGACAGTGCCCTCCCGTCCCCAGCTGCCAGCTCTGCAGCACTGACCCGGCTTCCCATGGCGTGTGGCAGAGGGAGAATCCCCGGAAAGAATCTGGCTGGAGTGGAGCCAAGCCCAGCACAAGTGTCTGCGCTGGTCTGGGCTGCCCTGGCTGCTCGTCCATGCCTGTGCTAGTGAGCAAGGGAGACCCAGGGAGCAACCAGGGCTGAGGAGTGAGTGAGGGGCTGCCTAGATGCTGCGCAGCTCAGGGCTTAAGTGGCAGTGGGTAGGAAACCCTAAGAATAGTCCCTGATTTCAAATGCTGCCTGGGGTGCCTCTGACTTCAGGAGGAAGGAGAGATGTAGTTCGCTGTGTTAGTCTGAAGTCAAGTAGAAGGCAGAGTAGATTGGCACCATATAGAATAAGCAAAGTAGGTCAATATATAGCACAGGCTTTCATGGGCTGAAGCGCACTTTGTCAGATGCTGTTTCTCAGGAGCAAGGAAGCAGCTTGTTGGCTCTGGGAGCTTGGTGTCTTTTTCCCACCCAGCTGCCTCCCCCTGCGGATGTTCTGGATGCTCTACACCTGAGAACTCTGGGGACACTGTTCCCACCATATTCAGGGGTGGTGTCTCATCCTGGTCTGGCCTGGTGGCTGGGGCAGTCAGGGCAGCTGGTTTGGGCTGCACAAAAGTTTGCTTTTAGCTCTAGACTCTCCTGTGTTAGTGCAGAGCTGTGGGCTAGACAAGGGAGCAGCAAGGTGGGAAGAGGACACCCCATGGAAATCTTCTGCTAGGGGAAGCTAGGTGGTGGGAACCCCTCCTGGCCAGCTGGATTCCAGGGTCTCCACTGATTACAGTGGCAAGACAGCAGCCGCTAGCCCTGGAGCTTATGGACTGAAGCTATTTAGAAATCCTTGTGTTTTCCACAGAGGAAATATCTGATGAAAACAATGTTGTTGTTGCTTTTAGCTGATTGTATTTATTTATTTATTTATTTATTTATTTTATGAAGAACCTCAAAATGTGGGATTTTTTCCTTTGCTGTATTTGGGGAGCTTTTTCTCCTTCAGGTTTTCATTTTTGGAGAGAGGGAAAAACCCCACTTTTTGATGGAAGTGGAAATTAGTTTTTGTGGAATCCTTCTGGTATGTCATGGGTCCACTTCCTGTTGAGCAGTGGGCTGGAGTGGGTTTCTCCCACTGACTCTACAAGCCAGCACTGGGAAGCAAACTGTTTTGTCCCCTGGTGCTGTGGTGCTGGTGCCACCTTGTGAGGCCAGCTGCACGTCATCCAGCCCAGCCTGGGCTCAGGGAACTCATTGGCCAGGTAGGGAAACCCAGTGTGTTTGGGCTGGTGCTGTTGCCAGGAGGAGCCAGGCGGTGGCAAATGATGTGAGATGCTCCCAGGCAGAGCAGAACCAACCCCCTTTGAAGGGGGAGGGAGGCTGGGGCCAAACGTACACTTCAGGGAGGTGGGGGTGTCTGAAAATCAGGCCTTGAGCACCCTGAGAGCAGCTCCCACCCGCCAGTCCTGTCTGTGGGGGACATGGGTTCCCCTGCTCAGCACCCCTCCAGTCATCAGTATGGCCCCTTCCATACCACACTCATTGCTTCCTCTTTGGGTACTCAGAAGGGGCAGGTGGGTGCCCTAGCCTGCAGACAGATGTCTTAGAGGGGGCAGGTACCTTTAGGCTGGTAGTGGGGAATGGCCCTGCCTGGAGTTGGGGTTGGTGGTGAGGTAACTAGATGGAACTTGAGACCTAATTCCTGTGACTCCTTTGGAGGCAGAGATCACCAAGCCCCATGCCACCCCCAACCCTCTGGGAAGCAGTTTCCCATGCCTCCTAACCACTCCCTAACCTATGGGAATGGGCTGTTGATAGGGCAGGGCCTGGGTGCTAGAGGGGTTGGGTGTGGGACCTGGCTAGTGGCAGGTTTTGTGTGATGAGGCTGATGATGGGGTATGAGGAGACAGGAGGTGAGACCATTGCGGTGGGGCCCACTGTGCACAAACAAGGCAGACAAAGATGCAGGCGTTCTCTGCTGCGCTGGGCTCTCAGCCCCAATGCAGCCTCAGCTCCCAGGTAGCCCAGATGTTCCAGACAATACCACAGCACCCGCCCACCCCCTGGTTAATTATATTTTTGAAGCCCAGCCCCCACTCAGTTCCCAGCACACTGCAGCCTGCGGCAAAGGGCTTGATTTCCCCCAGTACAGGCACACGCGCCTTATTCTCTCCACACCTTTGAGGAAAATGACCACACATGAATGCAAAGGGGGAGGGTGAAACTGTGATTAATGCAAAGAAGGAAGAACCCGGACTCCTGGCTCTTGAAAGAGAGTGTGGAAGGAGTGTCAGGACTCTTGGGTTCAGTTTCTTTCTGTGGGAGTGAAGCGGTGGTGAAGGGGTTGGGATAGTAGCTGACCAGTGAAGACTCCAGAACAGCACTGTCACTGAATGGCCATGAGCCAGTCCCTTCCCCAGTCTGTGCCTCAGTTTCCCTAGCAGCATGTTGGAATGATGTTGCCTGCAGGATCTAGAAATGGGCAAATGCCTTCTCTGGGCAGGCAACAAATTTGCCTTTCAGGGTATCCAGGGCTGCTAGGAATAGCCAGCTGGTACCACTGGATGCCACTTTTGGGAGCAGTAGGAGGGAATGGGCCATGAAGCAGAGGCAGGGGCCCAGCAGGGCTCTCCCAGGTCCCTCTGACTTGGGCCAGGAGGACAGGCTGTAAGCAGCTGGGAAAAAAGGAGATTGGGTGGGGGTTGAGGAGCCATAGGGTGGCTATTGGCAAGGGAAATGGCCTGAGAGAGAGAGAACGAACACCTCTACTGGTGTTGGACTGGCCAGGAAAGGAGGTGGCTGCCTCTTTGTAACCAGCTCTGAGAGATGTAGGAAGGCATTTTGGGGCCGGGGTGGGGATCCTGGATAGGTACTGAGGGGCATCAGCAGATCTGGTTTTGGTGGGGGAGATGTTGTGATAGGAGAGGATTGCAGGTCAGAATTAAAGGGTGTCACCGAAGCCCTTAATCCTCCTAGCACTGGGATAGGAGGGGGCTGCTGTTTGAGATAGAGAAACATTAGCACTTGTCCCCCCAGCAGCCAGTCAGTGACTCGGG